CATGCAAATAGAGGAAAGTACCTCACCTATGCAGACCAGTCCTCCCGGTTATGACTGATTGGCAGTAATGGCTATTATCATGTCAAATGGTTAGCTCCACAGAGGCTGAAGAAGTAAGAGAGTCTAGGGGCAATGTGTGGGTCACAAAAAAAAATGTCAGTAAATGAAGCACCGGATTCTCCAGTCTTTTCCACTTTAACCCCCTTGATCCTACGTGTTAGAGTAACAGAGATTACTTGGGTGTAACATATCCCATGTAACGTCCCTTTTATTCTAAATGTGTTCTTGTTTAGTAGGCATGGCTGTATTAAATGCAGAGCCAAGGGAGCAGCAAACATTTCAAAGGGCCCAAAACTCTAGCTCTCTTTGCTCTGCGCTAGCTGTCAGTTTGATTTCCCTTCTTTTCTTTTTGTTTTCTGTTTTTTTCTTTCTTTCTTCCTTAAATATGATATGCCCGTGGTAATAAAGTGAGGTCACTTGGTAGTATGTGTTGAAAGCCACGTTGCCATTAGACAGTGTGGCCTTTCATGTTTCCATTGGTCTGGCTGCTGGATTTGATGGATGCAGTCAATGGTGCAAGATGGAGAGTTGGGGAGAGCTCTATCTATTTATTTAAATATAGTGGGGTTGACTTAAATTTCAGTGGAGAAAGTGACTTTAGTTGAGCTTTGAGCTTCAGTAAAATTGATGTAATGGCTGAAATGTAGGGGATAGGGGGCTCCTGGGTAGTATGAGATTTGCCTTTAATTTAAGGGAGTGCAAAGGACCAACTGCTGTAGAAGGGGATGGATAGACATAAAGGGCAAAGTTAAAAAAGAACCGCATAAAGAGATGAGATGAATGAGAAATGACACAGTTGAAGAAACATGGGAGTAAGGCATAAAATCATGGGACTGGCAAAACAGGAGTTGAAGAGATTAAATGAAGTACAGGGATCAGTTAGTGTGTGGGTCTGCATAAACGGAAGGAAGCATATAAGTTAACAGATAAAAAAAAAAAGAGGGAACGCGGCAAAGGCTCTCATCCCGAACAGATGGAAATCAGAACAGACACCCACACTCCGGCAGTGGATGGATAAAGTCGAAGAGCTACACGAGATGGAAAGGCTCACGGCGGCGATAAGGAACAACATGGAAAAATATCAACAGTGCTGGACCCCCTGGATTTTCTATCTGGCCAGAAGATAACCGGAGCGGGTAAAACACGACACGGACGGCAGGGGCCCGCCGGACCTGGGCTGCCTGGGGCCTGCGGGTGGGGATGGGGCCTGCCGGCCTTCCTCCCCACCTCTACACCCACCGATGGTCCTCCCCTACCCTCCCATCCACACAAGAGGCGAGCCGAGCAGTGGCGGTCGGAGGTGAGGCACCAAACAGACACCTAGCTTAGGCCCACAGGGGGGCCCATGGATAGGCATATTGACAGTATTCCAACACCGGAAACACTAGCTTGTGAAGAGACGCCACCCCCCCACGGACTTTAGGGAAACAAACCACACACGACATCCTGCGCACACCAAACATAAGAAGGCAAAAAGAAACACTCCGCTCACAGAGACGAAAGAACGAAATGGGACGACCAACCCCCCTCAGGACACAGGCCTCAGCCACCACCAGACAGACAGACAGAAGATTGACCTTACACTACTGACATGGAAAATGTTTAGGTACATTAGACTGTCTATTGCTTCTGAATGGACACCTTTACGACCCAATGAATGCAGAGGCCCTGCGTATGTTTTACCTCGCACCTCGACTGATTTACACATAAAATTAGCTCACAACCCAGACAACAGAGCTTGGGCATTACCAAGTTATTACACCTGTGTTTATTACGAAAGCCACAGTAATAGGACAAAAAAAACAAATAAAACAATGACTATCTAAAGAACATAACAGAGGCCAACAAATCTGATATACCGCACTACTAAACTTCAAACACAATTAGTTATGATTCACTAAACCGATCATTTTGTACTGCTCATGACATGTAGGCAACCAAGAATATGACAAAACAATCTCGGTATAAGATGTGTCAATAGGTTTTAACTTCGCATTATCTCTGTTGTAACCATTGTCGACCTATATCGATAACAAATGTAAGCTGATTGTTATAAGTCGGAAAAATCGCAATAAAAACAAAATAATTTTTAAAAAAAAGAGGGAGAGCAAGTATATATCAATTAAAGGGGAGTACAGATGTTTGTGCAGGTGCCCATTAACAATGAAGATGGTTCAACTTATAAGGATATGTTTTAAAGGGACACTATAGTCACCAGAACAACTACAGTTTATTGTATTTGTTCTGGTGAGTATAGTTAGTCCCTGCAAACTTTTTGCAGTAAACACTGTCTTTTCAGAGAAAATACAATGTTTACATTACAGCCTACTAGAGGTGGTGCTTCATGGCACAGTGCTGCACAGAGTGAAGGACATTCAGTGTCTCCACCCTCTGCATGACACTGAACTTCCGTCATAGAGATGCATTGATTCAATGCATCTATGTGAGGAGATGCTGATTGGCCAAAGTGGCGTTTGACTTGGCCCACCTCCTTGGCTGAGATCATTAGAATTGACAATCTCAGCCCATCCATTGTGATTGGCTGAGATCATCACTTCTGATGACGTCAGCCAAGCAGGCAGATCAGGTGCAGAGCCAGCATCAGCAGACTGGAATAAAGGTAAGATTTTACTATATTAAGGGAGTGCCAGGGGGGCCAGATAGTGTTTTAACACTATATGGTCAGGAATAGATATTTGTGTTCCGGAGCCCTACAGTGTTCTTTTAATGCCACTTTTGAGATGATCCTCTTACCTTCATTTTATTTGGTACCATTTACATGGATATAGGTTATAGAATTGCTGGCAGTCTGTATTCGTAGTAGGTTCAGTGGAGCATTCCTAAAGGATTATAGTTAATATGCTTCCGCACATTTTACAAATAAACACCCCTGGAATATTGTTCTTTTATTCAGTTAATAACCTGTATGTTTTCTTTTTAATCTACACCTTGAATGAAATACCTACCTGTTCAGTTATTGAGAGATGGTAAACCATCTACTGCAGTGCTGCCAGTTGCATTGATCTCCCTTCCCATCGTCATTGGTAGCAAGGGTGCCTCCTTCCTTCCTGCATTATTTGTGCTATAATTCATTTGTTTTACTCTGCAATTGGCAGCTGACAGGCTGTAATTTCACGGCTTGTAATAAAAAGGTGTCTCATAATCTGCTTCATTTAGCAGTGAAGCCGCTAATGAAATTAACTGCAGCCCTAATTATTCTCGTGAATACTAACGACCTGCCGTCACGACTCCCTGCTAGAAGGATACTGGGACCCCGCCTGCTGCATCCTATGCAAAGGGCTGAGGTCAGACTTGCAGGGATACAGTTTACGTCCTATATACTTATTTGGGGTACGTACCAATCCATGAATGCAAGTGCATTCTGTCTGTTGAGTGGCAATTAACTCTTTATTGCTGTCATTGTAGGCTGGCAAAATGATTAAGAAAAGCTGGGAAATCATAACAATTACTGCTCTCAAAGTTCACTTCGCTCTTGTAAGTTTATATTGTTCCCTTGGTGTTCTCTTGCTATTTCCCCCATGATCATCCCATTCCAATGCTGTCTTTGATTAGGCCCTTGGTAAAATACAGAATCACAAGCCCTCTACTGTGTATAGCACAGAAACTTATCACCAAGTCAGACTTTATCTGTTAATGAATGGAGAGTGCTGAAGTAAGCGTTAGGTAATTGAGTTTATAATTAATTATCCAGAACCCTCATCAGATAACACTCTTGTAGAGACGATTTTTTTTTTATCACCATCTCTGTCTCTCTGTGTCCCCCGGGCCTGCCCTTCTCTGTCCTTGTGCGAGCTGCTATACGCACTTATCTCTGACCAAGTCTGGCCACTGTTCCCTCCCTGCATCCCATGGGTGATGATGGATTAGCTGGAGGAGTGAACTGGTTGGTGGGGATCAGATTAGTTCCCTTGCTGTGTTCTCACCATGTCACTCATGGGCTTGCTTGATGTTCTTTTGACATTTCCCAACAAAGACCCGGGAAGTTTGGAGTCCATCAGCCCCACGCCTCCCTGAATTGGCATCCCCCTTCACAAAGGACACCCGTGGTCCCATCTCCTGCTTCATTCCCGTCAACAATGTGGCTGCAAATGAGCGTCTTTCTGTGTGTGTCTATTCAGTCTTATCATTCATGGACTAGGGAGAGAACCCTGCACGTTGATTGATCCTTGGGTGATTGCGGGAACTTTGCTACACTCTGCTACTATCCCTTCACTTTATTCGCATGTTCTTCCACGCAATGCTAGGCTCTATAATTTTGTCTTCAATCTACAATTTGCGTTAATGTGTTTTTTTTTGGTATTTATCTTTCTTATCATATTTTTTTATTTGTTTGCTCCTTCTGTCAAAAGTCATTCACCTGCCACTACTTCGGCAAGTCCTTCTTTTCATTATTCTGTGTAGTTAAATTGTTTAGAATTCACTGCTCTCAAAGCGTTTTCCTACCTAGGATAATATCCAGTGACGAACCTGAAATAACAGTTTGCCATTGTGTCTGCCTGGTCTTGTAGGTATTGAAAACTTGATACTGGGAAGGAAAAAAAAAAGTTTAATTTTCTTTACGGTAAACCCAAGTTGGGATCAATTTAAAGATGACAAGGTGACAGATTAAGCTTATTAATTTATAACTGTCATAACCCCCCAGTTCTTCAAATCTGTTTCTTCCTTTATTTGTGTTGGTGACATAATTTATTGTCTTACATAAGTATATGCAAATGAATAAATGTGAAAATATTTGTGTAGACCCAATAATGCACTCACTTTTAGTTTTCCCTTTTTTTTTTTCTTCAAATTATAGCTTTCATTTACTAGTGTGTAGATCTATAATTTATAGGGTTCAACATTTCCACTTGCTACTAGTGAGTGAAAATGTAGCTGGAGGGTATAAAATGACTTGCAGTGGCGAGTAACTTTTCAGGCCTGGCTTGTAGCATACGACTACAAATTTTACGCTGTGTGTGTGTGTGTGAATATATATATATATATATTCACACACACAGCGTAAAATTTGTAGTCGTATGCTACAAGCCAGGCCTTAAAAGTATATATATTAATACTGTGGTATCTGTGAAATATAAAAATATAGGCAAAGTGTATTATTCCCAACAGTTCACAATCTATATTTTTTTTTTTCTGTATTATTTATCATTGTGTTTTGTTTACTGAAATTTCCGCATTGAAATTATTATAACCATAAATGAGCCTGTTCTTCTAATGTATAAAAGTTTCAGATACACGTGCCAGGATTAATGCAGAGTAGTTTTTTTTTGTTTTTGTTTTTTTTGGTGTGTATATGTGCATATAAAAATAAAGTCCGTTAAGGATTTTTAACTGTTGATAAGAGGGGGTAAATGTGTTTCATGTCTGATCCCATTGTCACAAAGATTGGTGTTCTCCCTGCGCGTGCTGCCCTCAGAGATACAATATGTCTGTCATTGTGCAGTGTGATGTTCTAAGCCTCCGGGGGGAGGAGGGGGCGGAGAGGGCTGAAGAAGGTAGCAGGGCAGAGTATCATTATCAGACGTAATTGATAAATAATATCCCTCATAAATACTGCCAGTCCTTCAATTAGTTTTCTGTAAAGTTCGGGATGGGGAAGTGATGGCCTGTCAAAGTGACAATGGATGACAAAAATTAATAAATTGCCTTCTAAATAGTGCGGACACTTAAGAAAAATTGGGCAGCCAATTTAGCCCAGCGGGAGGTGGGAGGCCGGGGGCTTCTTCTCGTTTTATTCTGCACTCTTGTCGGGCCTCTAATGTTGTCTGGGCTTTATTAATGATAACGGAGCCTCCGCTGCCGCTTATGTTGCTACGGGCAACTTTGTTCATTAAAATTAAAGCCGGCGTTTAATCCCATTAGCTGCTCTCTGGGTAGCTCCTGTCGCTGGCAGTGTAGGGGGGTGCACGTGGGGCTCTGCCCTGCGGACATCAGGGTCGGGAGAAAGTGGCGCACTTCTTCTCTGCTTCTGTCCCAGACTTACAAATATATCGAGCACAGGTGAAACCCCTCAGAATAAGATACCATCATCTCGGCAAAGCTTTCTGCTTCCTCTGATCATCTAACCTCTTATTTGTAGAAAAAAACATGTCTTGTGAGATGCCTTTTGGCAGAGAAAGGGTTACGTCTTAGTCTGTATTCTATTAGACAATTGAATTATTATAGTAAATGGAGAGACTGAGTTTTGAGCTGGCAGTGATCCACTAGTATTACTGTGTTATGTGTAAATAAATTGTATTGTACGGAACTGCTCATTAGATGAACGTTGGCGTTTTGTGTTCATTTGTTCGTGTTAATTGCTGCCTAACCGTTATTGGTGCAGAAATCAGCACACATACTGTAGTGAGCCAGATAATATAAAATAAATGTATTTAATGTTCTACAAAAAAAAGAGAGAGAAGCCAGGTTAGACTTAGAAAAATGTGAAAAATCACCAGATGTATACCAGCCTCTTATACAGCACCTCAAGAGCTTGTATTGCTTTCTCCCACTTAGTTATAAATGGGTCTGTCCTTGTTTTCCATTTGTATTTGCTAATAACAATGCAAGATAATGGGCGCAGTGAGAAGAGGCAGAATGAGATGAATGACATCTTCAAACTCATTGTGTCAGAAGGCAGAGGGAGGCAGAGAGAGCAGAGTTGCACACACTATAGACACCCCTGGTGCATGGACATTATTTTGTTGAGGTTTTTTTTTTTTTTTTTTTTAAAGATCCCTTTTAATCAGATCACGTTCAATACATAGGTACAGGTAATTGATCTGTTTTGTATACTAGTGTACGCAGTGAATCTCCCCATCACCACCGCAAAACAGGGCCGAAATTCTATGGCGGTGGCTTTCAGAATCCTTTTGCGACCAAATGGTTAAACAATAAGCACGAGTGCGGTTCGTGTTATAGATTGGCCGCGGCAGCCTCCCGAGCTGTGTGGTATCAATCTGAGCTACAGTATAATGTTCATGTTCTAGGCGCCGGAGCTGTCATGTGTAAGGAGCTGTGAAGATGTATATTTTGAAGAGCAAAAAAAGAGCAGACCCTGCTTTTTTATCCTGCCACCCTTTAATTGTTGACTAAAATCTAATAACTGTTGTGCTAAATGAGCCATTAAATGTCCTTCTCGTAAAACATTGTGTATCAAATGATTTTAATGTTAGAAGCATAATGTCACTTTCATCTTCATGACAAGAGGCAGATACAAGGGAACAAGGAGACAGCGAATTAATGATGAGGGAAGCAGGAACTGGGATGGAATCCTGTAGTCAGAGCCACGCTGGGGACTCTGTGCTAAATACAGGACCTTGGACAAAGCACTCAGCCATGCTACCCAAGCCTCGATTCCATAATTCAGAAATCTCAAAATATATCTTATATGTTTTGCATAAGAAGGAATGAATGTAGGAATTGTAATCTGGTATTATGGCTGAATTGTGTTGTTTTTGCATAGTGCTTTGATTTGCGGTCATTTAAAAAAAAAAAAAATAGACTATTATGTTAATAGAAAAAAAACTAAGAGCAGTAAATATATACAAGTCTTGGGTTGCATTAGACATATGATATCAGGTCAGTTTACCGATGACACATTCTTCTGTTATGGCACTAGAACGAGAGGGCGTGATTTGAAGGTGGAAGACGGAGTACCAATGGGTGAGAAAATTATTTTCAGAAAGAGTAGTAGATACCTGGAATAACCTTCCAGTAAAAATATTAAAGACAAATACAATGAAGAATTTCAAGAAAGTTTTTGAAGTATTGAGTATATTTGCAAAATATGGGCATAAATAAAATCTAAAGCAAAGATATCACAGATATTTTCTATATGTAAAAATGTGTAAGTGTTCAGTGTATTTTAATGTTTTTGATTTTTTTTTTCTTTTGTGTTTTTACAAATTGATGTAAAATATGCTGAAAATGCTTTTACAAACTGATGCGATATAAAAGTAAAATTGTCTGGAATGTCTGTCATAAAATCAAATCAACAGAATAAAAAAGAACATTTCTCACATTGTATTGCAATAATCTTTTATGAGTATCTGCACAATTGGAGGCTGTATTTCTTTTCTTTTAAATATCAAGGGATATTTAAGGGCAAATGTCCCAAACTAAGATAATTTTTTAAATATTGAGAGCATGTTCAAGCTTGGCTGTCAATGTAGAATTAATACCCATCCCAAAATACATAATTGGTTGTTTAGTAGCTTAGATACTGACACACATAGAACAGAAAGTTATAAAGCATTCTCTTCTTAAAAGTGGTGCAAAAATGTAAAGGGAGGGAGTCATCAATGGAACGTGTCTGCAGATTCTATTTGTTTTCATGGTGATTACCTTTTTAATACTTAAAACCACATTTTAGAGCAGAACACTTTGATAAATCTCTCCTATAGAGTTGCCAGATTACCATGATTTTCTGGGTTGTTTTTGGCATTTCTCGGGCAAGGTTTGAGAGTGCCAAGCACTATGTGAAATACATGAGCTCCTGATGAAAAATCAATAAAGTAATCTGTTTTCTTTCATATCTTAGCTATGATTAATTAATTTCCCACTTGGAATACATGAATTCCACATGCACTTTCAAACCCTACCTGACCACACGCTGAAATCCTATTGCTGTGCACTGCCCCATTCATAAAACCATGAGTGATTCTGTCAATAAAATGATGGCGGCCACGGTACGGCTGATGTCATCTTATTCAACAGCTCTACTTGTCAGATCTCAGAAGCTGAACGGCAGCTGGTGCCGAACTACATATATTTTAAAGCCCTTGCTGGATAGAAGATCAAAATCCATAGACCAGAATGAGAGGCTCCTGATTGGTGATATCTCTTCCTGGTCTGGGATGTGTTTGCTGGCTGTTGCTGCTTGACATTGTATCGGTAGCCACAGCAACATGATGTTTGCGTTTAATCACATATTATCTATACATTGCTTTAGTAAAATGGGTTGATTTCCAAACTAATATGAAAATAAGAAGACTAAGATTATGCTTAGCCTTCTAAATGAGACTATGTTTACCTGACATGCAAACAAAACTCCTTATTGATCTGTATTTTATGCACAGTTGCATTTTGTGTGTTCCTAAGAATTATTCCCTTTCTTGCCTGTGGTTCTGTTGCTTGGCTTTCTCTCCATTGATATCTGTCTTCTTGTAGGTTTCTATTTCCACTACTACTATTGATAGGACCTCATATCACTAGCAGGATTATTCAGTAAGAGGATAGTACTTTGCCTTAAACACACAGAATATAAATGTAAAACATTGTACCTGCTATGTTTGCTTAAACTTTATTCTGTGAGCATGTGATAACATGGATATGTGCCCTGGAAAAACAAGATGACCTAGCAACCCAGTTTTTCATGTTGTAGGTAATACGGATACAAGCCATTATTTTATAATGCACATAGAGCTGTGTGTCTATCATTACACGACAAAAAACATATGACTGTATGTGATGCACATGCTTGTAGTGATTAGAGCAGCACGATATGCTGATAGCAGTAAGGAACTGACCTAACGGTGTGTTCAGATGCCTGTTCCTTACTGTTATCTGGATTGAACCATGGGAACGTAGAGTGCCTCCAGGACAGAACTTCATTATATTTTTATCCCCCATTGCATGCTTACAGGAATGTGACAGTCTTTGCATATTCAGCACAGTCTACAGTCCGACATGTTTACCCACACATTCATGTGACTATACTATCTCTGTACAGTTAACATGCCTGCCATGCAAACTCCCTGCTTGAAGCGTGTTGTGATGAAATTTACATCACTCCGGTATGTTGTTAGGACACTTTCCAAATAATTATAAAATTTTATGGTCCGAATAATGCTGATGTAGCATATCACTGTCAACATCAAAGCCCAATAACGATTAAACCAATAGACCGCCAAGTTTAATAAATATTGATTTCAAATTGCCATGTAAGACATATGTTAGGAGCCATCCTCCCAGTAATTATTCCTGGTACCTTTTTTTTTTAGTGGAAAGCAACGAACACATAATGTGTGTGAAAATAGTCAATTTAATTAGTC